CACACACACACACACACACACACACACACACACACACACACACACACAGGTTCCGGAGCACAGCGGGGTTTACTTTCTCTAGCTGAAGTCTTGGAAAATAACTTCTTTTCCCCCTGAACATTACATTTTTTTATGTCAAAACTTGGAAACAAACAAACAAACAAAACATCTTTCTCCTTTTTCTTACTTCTGATTGGCTTTAATTCTTCATTGTGCAGATTAAACTTCTGAAAATTTTGTCAACAAAGAAACTTGTCTCCTTTAGAAGTTAAATAACTCAGAACTTAAATAGATCGTAGCAGAACTGATCCAAAAGGTCAACTCCACGCTGAACACAAGACAGACGTCGAGTTTCAGACCCATCTGTGAACTATTCTGCTCCTGGAGGAAGACGTGTTTCTCTGTCTCTGATCTTCAGCTGAGCTCAGTCTCAGTCCACCACCTCGGTGTTGACCTGCGCTGCGATACTGGCAGGTGTTACATTTAGGTGGATGTCATACTGCTGGTCCAGACCCAGGTAGCTGTCACTCATCACATACAGAGTGTAGATGTACCTGCAGGCAAGAAGGAAAAGTGGTGAGTGATAAACGGCATCAAGACCAGAATTTGTTTCTAGTCGCACTATTAAGAAATCAGGTCACATTTGTGACCAAATTGATTGCACTCTAGAGCCATGGAGCAGGATCAAAAGAGATATGGGAAAAAAAAAAACTATTGCTCTGACGTGTTGCCACCATGTATTTTTAGAATGAACCGAGGTGGTCAGAAGATGTGTAGGTTATGGGCTGTGTCCAAATTCCAGGGCTGGGTCCTTCGAAGGACCCGACCCAGGCCCGGCATGGCTAATCGGGAGGATCTGGACTTTTCCCAGTGGGCTGGTTGATGTTTGGGCCACAAGGGTTGGTAATGTGTTAGTTATGGATCAGATCACTGCTACGACTTTCCCTGTATTGCCAACCAATTATATGATACAATGGCTTGCCATAAACCAAGGGCTGCCTACGCCTCTAGCTGGCAGCTCTCCTTGTTTTTACTTTTTTTTCCCTTTGTTGTTGTTGTATTGCACTCTGACGTAACACGTTAGTGCACGAGGTCAGTCGTGTCTGAAAACCGGATAGAGCAAGCGTGGTGCGGAGAAAGTTAGAATTAAAAAGAGGAAAGCTCTGGAAACTGATGCAGCTAAATGTGCAAAAATGAGCAACTTTTTCAGTAAAAGGAGGCCGTGGTTTGAGGACGATAAAACAGGTAAGGCAACATGTGTCTGTGTCGTGTCTGCAAACCACCGTTCAAGTTAGCTAATTAACAAGTCAATTAATTGTGTGGCGTTGTGGCAAATAACATAACATTATATAATATAAATGATGTGACACCACATAGCTAGGAAACTGTCTTGTAGCTTCTCAGAGTCAGAACCAAGATACAGAACCATCCTGCTCGAGAGCCCATTGGTCCAGACTGAGCAGGTAGGATCACTTATTGACTGAATATTATTAGAATTTATATAATGATGAGTATGATGTAGACCTGCTTTATATGAAAAGTACTCTGAGATGGTTCAGTACATTTATGTAACTGAGCTGATGATCAGAAGGCGCCGGGAAAAGAGAGATTTGTCTTGAGAATTATTTAAAATGTGATTTAGTGTCAGAAGCAGAGCCAGGAGCCAGTAGTGATGAGGGGAACAGGTGAGCTGATGTAACAAAGTGTGAACAAACAAGTGTTAGTTTCAATTTWACCACTTTCCAGGCCCAAACAATAGAAACCTGTTATATTTTTATAATTAAAAGTAAGATAATATACACAAAGCCCACAATTAAAAGGGAATAAGATAAAAGTAATATGAAATAAACCTGCATACTTTGAAATTAAATATGTTTTAAATGGTTAAATCAAAATGTGTTTTCCATATCAAATATGCTAAAGATTTACAGTTTATTATTTTTTTATTTTGATAAAAGTGCAGGTGAGTCTAGGGCAGGGGTGTCAAACTCCAGTCCTCGAGGGCCGCTATCCTGCATGTTTTAGAGGTTTTCCAGCTCCAACACACCTGATTCAGTGATTGAATTAACTCTTCAAATTGGGCAGAAGCCTGTTAATTACCCAGCGATCAAAATCTGGTGTGTTGGAGCAAGAAAACCTCTAAAACATGCAGGATAGCGGCCCTCGAGGACAGGAGTTTGACACCCCTGGTCTAGGGAATACTTTGGATAATCTACCAGCATGATGGGTTAGTGGTTAGCACTGATGTCTCACAGCCAGAAGGTCCTGAGTTCAATCCCCAGTTTTGACCTGGGGTCTTTCTGTCTGGAGGTTGCATGTTCTCGTGTGGGTTTCCTCTAGGTGCTCCAGTTTTCCCCACACACCAAAAACATGTACAATAGGTCACTTTCAGGTCTGGGCTTCCCTTGCAAAATACATCACTAATCTCAATGGGATATGCTTGTTTAAATAAGAGTAAATAAATACATCTAATTATCAGATAATTCTTTAAAAGCTACTCTTATGCATAGGGAAAAACATAAGATAATGGCATTGTTAATGTTGTTAGAACAAATTTGGAGCAGATATGTTTTTATTTTTTATTCATAAGGATTAGATATCTGCAAATACTAATTTGATTGATAGTTGATATTACAGAAAATGACATTGTGATGTAAAGAATAGTGTAGAGATTTAACTTGTTCTCATGTTTGTAAAATCTAAGTTATGATGGAACTGTTTCCTTATAGAGGAAAAAGAGATGATAGTGTAATTACAAAGTCCAACATTTTTTATTGAATGTTTTATTTATTCTTTTATTTCACTGCAACTATTTGAACAAAAATATAGCCTAAATTCTGATTTTGTTGAAAAGGATGTGTTGTAAAGAATAATGGAGATGTGCACTTATGTCGAAATAAATCTACATTTTGAAGTAACACTACTTGCACTGAATTGGAAATAATTTTGTAAAATCCACTGAATTACAATGTTTTACAGAGTGGTGCACTATTATTGATGATTTAGAGATTATAAAATGACTTTAATAATATGTCTTGATCTATAGTGGGCCAGTCTGAGGCATGAAACTCCAGGGCTGAAAATGAGTCCCACTCCAGCCCTGATCAGACCTACTCGGTCTAAGTGAACCAGGTCCTTGATCGACCACGAAGACTGGAAAAAAGTGGCTGTGAATTTGGACGGTCTAGTCTTCTGCTTTATTCCTGCCCTTAACTGTTTAAAACTGTACTCCTTACACTTGCTTCATTCGCCACTACGAGCAGGAAAAAAACTCTCTGGTCTGCCCACAAAACATTATGGAATATGGTAGGCCGAGAAAGATCCATCGGACCCGTCCCTCAAATTGGGGAAGAAGAAGAACGCATTTGATGGCCGCATCGGAGGATTCTTAGAATTTGGACAGCCTCTGGCATGGCGCTGTGACGTAAGTGGCTGACAAATTCTGCCTTTGTAGGATGCAGCCCCTGAATTTGGACACAGCCATGGTATAGTTATAGGGCGACTTCTGAAAGAGCCTTTTGAGTGTCATATTTACTTAAAATATTAGTATTAACTGTTGGAATAAATACCTGTGTGTTTGTTAGCAAAATATATCAGAAACCATGGGCAGTGGCTAGTGTTTGCTTGGAGCCAGTCTAGAATGGAGCAGTGAGGCACCTCCTGTCCTAGTACACCCACAGTCTCCCTTGCCAGGGTCACGGCATGGAGGTTATGTCATCAAATAGATGGCATTTCAGGCACTCCTGGTATCACTGTGGACGTCTGGGAAGTACAACTGTATTCTATCTTGCAGTTTTATTCCACTGCATCCAAGTCACCTCCAGTCGTCTTGCGATGGTTACTACAGGATACCAGTGCACAGCTACACCACCGAAAACAAACCTATGCACAGAAACTGGTGATGGGAAGTCCAACGGCGATGGGGGACTGGCAAAGCGACGTACAGGATAGTAGTGGCAGTCGTAGACATGAACCATCATGTTGGTGGTCTGGAAATGATCTGTTACACCATTGGAACAATATAACAGTTTGGCAGCATTCCAGATGTCAGGGCAGCTCTATTTAGAGGCCACTGCTTTCCCCATATGGGAAAGGGATTAGAAAAGGTACCCTAAACATCGGTTGCTCCTCCTCACCTGGTCAGCTTGCTGTGGCTGACGGGCTATCCCTCAATGCGGTCGAGTTAAAAAGAAACTTGTTAGACTTCTCAAGGTTGCTACATGGAGCGTAAAACAGAGTCGGCATATCCCTTCTTGTGATCGCCTCGAAAATCCTTACTAAGTTAATGCTGGGTCACCTTGCTTGTTTCATCCTTGAGAACATTATTTCCAAGTCTCAGTGTGGCTTTAGAAGTGAACGCGGCACAGTTGACATGATTTTCACTGCAAGACAGCTACAAGAGAAGTGCCTGGAACAAAATGTTGGCCTTTACGCCGCCTTTATTGATCTCAGCAAGGCGTTCGACTCTGTCCCGTGTGATGGCCTCTGGAAGATAACAAGTTGTCCCAGATAGGTTCATCAAGATACTCATAGGTCTACACGATGGAATGCGAGCCCGTGTGTGCTGGCGGTCGGTTTTCTGACCCCTTCCCAATAACAACTGGGATGAAACAAGGTTGTGTAATTGCTCCTACATTGTTCATCATCTTTTTAAGCAGTATGCTTGACGAGGCAATGGCAAACCATAGAGATTAAGGCATCTACATCAGGTTCAGATCCGATAGCAGCATCTTTAATATCTCAAGACTGCACGCCAAAACCAAGGCCAGCCACCAACTGGTCCAAGATTTACTTTTTGCTGATGACTCTGCTCTTTTCTCGCAAAGCGAGGAAGGCCTGCAACTCCTGATAAACAGCTTCTCTGATGTCTCGAAGCGGTTTGGCCTTTGCATTAGTACCAAGAAAACTGAAATACTTAACCGGCCCCACCCTGATACATAATACATAGATCCAGTGATATCTATTGACGCCAAGCATCTAAAGAACATGGACACCTTCGTGTATCTAGGGAGTATTCTGTCGAACAATAGTCAAATGGATAGAGAGGTTTCAAACTGCATCGCAAAAGCTAGTGCATCTTTCAGACGCTTGCAAGATAGGGTATGGAAAAAGCCAGATCACAACTTCATACACAAAGGTTGCTGTATACCACACTGTTGTCTTAAGCACCCTCCTCTGTAGAGCAGAGTTCTGGACAACATACCACCTCCACATTCAACAACTCGAGACCTTCCAGAAATGCTGTCTCAGGAAGATGTTCAACATATCCTGGGAGGAAAAAGTGTCAAACCTTGAAGTTCTACAGAGATTTAAATGTCAGGTGGAGAGTACCATYAATAAAAAACAACTGCAATGGTCAGGCCATCTTGTGTGGATGAGTGATCTTAGGACATCAAAACAGCTCTTCTATGGCAAGCTCACCTGTGGTGAATGCCGAGTTGGAAAGCCCAGGAAGCGGTTCAAGGAAAAAAAGAGTCCCTCAAGAAGTGTGGCATTGCTGATGAAAGTTTTCAGCTACAAGCGCAAAACCGCCCACTCTGGAGAGGCTAAGTAGTAAAGGGAGTTGAGCTGCTTGAGATCAAGTGGGCACATACTATCCGACAAGCCCATCTCAGGTGGAAAAACCCTGATGCAGCCAATGAACCATACAAATGTAACATCTGCTCAAGGCCCTGAACATCAGTGGATGGTCCTGTTGCCTATATCCGCGCCAGTCATCCCCAAAAGTAGTTGTCGCCATTTCTGACATGACATCCAAGAAATAAGAAAAACACAAACCATTGGATAGATTTCAAAGAAATTATACGACTGTAATCACTGTACAGCAATCTACGTACAACTCCAATTTTTGGAGTCAACCCAGGTCAAGATAGCAGCCAAAGGTAAGCAACACTAGCCTCCACAAAAATTGCTCCAACTAGGCCAATTTTACAGATATTGGCTAAAATCTGGTAGTGGTGGTAGTAGCTGAGAGATATCTACAACACACATTACAGTATAAACTGTAGATATCACAGAAGATCGTGCATAAATTTAGTTTCAAGGTTTGACCCAAACAAGTCAATTGTTTCTCATCATGAGATGATCTTAGTCAAACTCTAGCATGAAAAGCTTTGGGGTAATATGCATTAATTAAAGTAGTGGTTCCCAAACTGTTTTTGGGCTGAAGGTAAAATGGGTAGTGGAACTGAACCCCTTTTTACTCCAAGTTTGACAGATGAAATCTGGAGCAGCTGCTTACTTTCCAGTCTTTTCCGGTGTATAGAAGGCCACGGATGTAGATGTGTGATTGCTCACATATCCAACCCGTTTGAGAGCCAGCAGCTCCCTGCGATCCACTTCCCCCAGGACCAGAAACCAGCCTTCATCCTTCGCTTTAGGGAACCTGGGAGCCTGGGCCTTACTGTCCTGCTTTCTCTGAAACAACACACACACAAGGCCCACAGGTAAAGTTTATTTCAGAGAAGACATCCTAACATTTCTCACAAGAGTTAAACTTTTCCAAGATCTTAATGAGACACAGTTCAGCTATTTTGAACTGGTGTACTGTGGAAAATTTGTAGTTGTAGTTAATGTTTAACTTATTGTAGACCGAGAAATCTTATAATCTATTTGAACAACCACAGTTTAAAGGAAAAAAAAAGATTAACTATGACTGATGAACTAATAGTACGACCGAAATATTAAAACACCAGTTTAACCAAGGTACTGAAAACATAAGCATAATACTGGTGTGTGGGAGACACTGACCCTCTGCTGGCTGAAGTTGATCCGTCTCAGTGACACCTGCAGGACGTACTCCTGGTCAGCGTGGACGTCCATCCAGCTGCTTGCCTCTCTCATGTTAGTCCCTGCTGCAGGGACGGGGCGCTCCGTCTGCTCCTGGTTCTGCTCCCACCAGCCTGTCACACTGAGATGGACTTCCAGAACAGGGAGGTGGCTCAGGAAGGTCCAGGCCTGGCAAAGGAGGAGCAAGTAAATCTATCTAAACCCCTTGAAATTGGTGTCTGTATCTTTAAGAACCTCTATTTCAGACACTCCCACTTCAGCATGTCTTCACAACAATGCTTCATGGGAAGGATGCTCTGGTCCTATCAACCATTAACACAGGTATCATAAGGAGAGCTTAGGGAGAAAAAAATCCACTGAAGCTGAAGAAAAGTTCTGCACTATAGATAAACGATTATTGAACATTTGCCACACAAACTGATGCAGATTTTATTTTCCGTTGGCAAACAATACCTAATAGGTTTTCATAGAGTTGGATGAAATAAACAGGTTGCAAATAAAATAAAAAAGAAAAATAAAAAATAAAAAAATACAGCTCTAGGGCAAATTGAGAAGTGTTCAAGACAAGTTCGAGGCATCAATGACAACTTTCCAACTATTTTGAGATAAAATTAATTGTGTAGGCATTGCTCAAAATCCATGTGACAGATGCACAGCCCTGCAACTTACATACAAAAGAAAACAGATAACATCCATGAAAGTTTCAAGATACTTTGGAGATTTTGTCGTGAATCTCAACTAGTTGTCAAGAGTTACAGCCCAGTGGGATGCTGCCTTAATGAAGTCCATATGTTTACAAATCAGGGCAGAAAAAAGGGACCTAGTGAAAATGAGTTTAGTGGTCATAACATAATGGCTCACTTATGTTTTGTAGGAAAATCATGTTCTATGAGTTAGAAGTCGGAATAAGTTTGCAAAAAAAACAGCTGATCTCTTCTAAAAGGTTTATTCAAAATCACACGTACTTACAGTGGCTGCTCTGCTTTGCATCATACATGAACAGCAAGAATCCAATCAGAACTCTACAGAGGTGCACCATTCAAACACATAATTTCTCCTTTTATAAATTTACAAAACGTAGAATTTCTCTGTGGTGCATCAAAACGGCTTCAACATAAAGCACTGTGACAGTTTCAAACTCTTTGGTCAGCTATTCTGAGTCCAATCCACTGTTTGATTAAAGCTCTGTTCATTCTAGCAGACGTTCTTCTCTGGTCTTAATTAAATGTTTTATGAGAAGAACACAAGATATAAAAAGGATAAAAGCCCAGAGAGAATGACAGTGAAAAATGGTAGAAAAGGATGTGTGTGTGTGTGTGTGTGTGTGTGTGTGTGTTTATTGGGAGCTTGGAAGAGAAAAGCCTCTCAGATTCACTCAGAAAAAGCTATTTATGTGAGGATTAGTCTCCCAGAGTGAGTCAGACAGAAATGCTGCTGCACATCTAATTATTTAATTAAAGAGCCTGCCACTCTGTGGGGGGTGGGAGGTGGAGGGGCTGGAAATGTGGGGAAGAGAGGCAGGGGTGAAAATGATTGGGTGAAGTCACAAGGCATGTTGCTGGGCCTGGATCCTCTCATTACTGCGGCAATTAGCACTTAAATTGAAGCCATAAACCCCATTTATAAAGCTGTAATTGGGGATCGTAGAGGCCTCAGAGACTAGAGGAAGAACTGCTGATAGCTCCTCACTGAATACTGTGTGTTTGTGTAGAACTGTGTGAGTAACCTGAACATTTTTTTAAAGCTGCACAATTCAAGTGCTTGAGAACCATTGATGGTAGTAAGGTTTGTGATCTTACCTGGGCGATCAGAGTTGGGTGAAACTCCTGGTTGACCATTGAAGCAAAAACACTTTCTTTGCCGTTGCAGGCAGCAATCAGCTCAGGAAGTGCTTCAATTGGCCCACTGAAGCCTCTCACGTTACTCCGAGCCATCTGATTTGTCCACTTCCTAACAAGTGATAGAACAGAAAGTGATGTGAGAGGCATCAAATTCAATTAGAATGATGGAAATGAGGCCAAGAAAAGTGCTGATCCAAGTCTTCACCTGGTAAAATGGTATTATCAAATACAACTAACTGCAAAAGTATTCAAGCTCTCTTCGGTATTCTGTCTACTTTGTTCACCTTCAACCTACAGTTTTATCAGAAGTGAGGACCATCTATAATACTCAAAATTAAGTTGAGGAGGAAAAAAGTAAAAAAAAACATTGAAAAATGTGTACTAATTGTAAAATGTGCACATGATGTGACTGGATTAGTAGAGCAGCCATGTAGAGACTTAGTTTTAGGAGGGCAGAGCTATAGCTTTGGCCTCCTTTGTGCTTCTCTAGGCACTTTCAGGGAAAAACTTTGAGCCGAGAGTTAAGGCTCTTTCATACGACAGTTCTGCAAAATGACCAGTCTGCTTTTATCCTCTCTCTGGTCATTCATAAATCACAGATGGAGTCGGACATACAGTATGGCAGATGTTTGTATTCAAAAGTAAAGCAGGTAGGGTGGAACCAAAAGAAGCATGGAGCCACTGGGAGGAGCCAGAGGAGCTTTATTTTTTCACAGAATATCTGTCTCATATTCTACTGTCAAGACATAGTGACAGTTAATGTGTAAAAAGACATGCTTAAAAGTTACCTACAGCAGCTCCAACACTCTCCATTATCTGACTCTATTAGTCTGGAATATTTTGTGTAGATTCATTATTTAAAATTAGATAAAAGGTAAATTAACATATCAGTTTAATGACCCGTGACACGGAAGAAAACGGACAGAGGTTAACGCAAAAAAGAATATCAACGGGGTGAATACTTTAGCAACCGAATGTAAGTAGATAAAATACAGAACTAAATATATTCATGCAGTCAATAATTACATAAAATAACTGATCATTACAAACAATATGGTGTAGTATAAGAGTGCAAAAAGATGATGTTTAAAACTTTTAAAATAACCTCAGTAGAATATTAAAATGCTCAAACATCTAACCACTACTGACAAGACATGAAAATGTTTCCACATGAAAGAATGTTATCAATCTGTCTTTTATTATGAAAACAGCTAAAAAAAAAAAAAACAATGAGCACATGTAGAGCAGTAAAGTTGTTTACCTGAACAAGTATAAGTGTTGATGTTCTACATGTGGGAGTGTCAGCAGTGTGGAGTCATGAAACCAGCGGCCCTGGACGATCATCTGAACCAGGTTACAGATACTAATGGCTGTAACTAACCAGCCCTCACTGGCAGCTACATCCAGCATTGCCTAAAGAAAAGAAAGGAAAATCCATCTTAACCACCAATATTTGCTCAGCGACCAGAATTTTCCTGAGCAGCCTCTTGCAGGGGCTGTCATTCATTGTAGAAAAAAAAATGCTTCTGAAGACTTGGCTTTCCAGCTTGGTGTTAAGAGGTTAATGTTCAAAGAAAAATGTAATTTATTTCAATATTCAAGCATGTATTCAGCTTTAAAGCTTTGTAGTCATAGGCTGCACGGTGGTGCAGTTGTTGGAGCCATCACCTCAGAGTGAAAAGGTCACAGGTTCACCTCTCGGCCTTTCTTTGTGGAGCTTGAATGTTGCACGTGGGGGTTTTCTCCCACAGACCAAAAACAAACAACTTAGGTTAAGAAGTAACTAAACTGGCCCTATGTGTGAGTGAGAGTGTGAATGGTTGTTTGTGTCTTTTCTCTATATATGGCCTATGATGAACTAGTGGCCTAGGGACTATGATGTCTGGGGCACCAGCCACTAGTCAGATCTCCTGGTGCTACCAGACCTTAGAGTTTCTGGATAGCTTCCTGTAAAGAGTGCCATCTGGGGGTTACAATCTTATTTGAGACATGTCCCCATTTTTTAAGCTAATGTTGCACAGAGTACTTATATTTTTAATCAACACAGTTCCAAAAACTCAAGCATGGGAGGATTTTGGAGTAGCCATGAAAAGGGACTTTCGATTGCAAATCCTGGCAAACCATTTGGTGACTCGGAAAGGGAAAGTGGGCCCTGTCCCCAGCTATGCTTGGCTTGAATGCAGAACTGCAGACTCAGACTGAAGATATTGTTGGGCACTGAACGGAACACTTGGAAATACTCCTTAATCTGGTCAACATGTTCACTTTGGAGAAGACATAGTCGGATAGCTCATGAAAAGGCAAACTCATAACCGTGGCAGAGTTTGTTGAGGTAATTAAAGCTCCTCTGTGTCGGGAGTGGATAAGATGTGCCCAGAGAAGCTGAAGGCTCTTATGTTGCGAGGCTGTCATGGTTGACAGTGGAGTCACAGACTGAGATGGTGGGCTACTTTCCCTACTTTTAAAAAGAGGAACTAACTATTGAGGGATCCCACTTCTCAGCCTACCAAGAAAAGATCAGGGTGTCCGACAGTCAAACCTCAGATTCAGGAAGGACAGTGTGGTTTCATCCTGGTCGTGAAAGAGTGTACCAGGTCTTTACCCTTACATGGTTGCTTGAAGGGAGAAGGGGGTCTCTGCAGTCACTATGTGGGAGTTTCTTTGGTGTGGGCCTAATATGAGTAAGAGTTATGACTAAAATTAAAATCCATAAAATTTGCATCTGAATGATTACGCTTCTCCCCAGCTGTCTTTTTCTCAAACTACGTCCATATGTCAATCTTACCAATCACGGTTTACCCAAACTAAGCTCACAACCAAGAAACGTAGTGACTGCAGTGGTCCCTACTTGTTTAAATGGGTCATTGGAGTTTAACCCTGGTATGACAAGCTCATTTAAAAAAATGTACCTTTTAAAATTTAAATGTAAGTTTTACCCAGTTTTTAACTGCATTTTAAATCCTGAACAGTAATCTGAGTAGAATCAGCTGAGTGAACCCTACCTGGCAGATACGGATGGCGTTGTCCAGCACCGTCTTGGTATCAGTGTTGTAGTCGCTGCACGGCAGCTGGGCATGGCTGAAGTGGGCCTGCAGCAGCAAGTGGGTCTTGGTGTGGGCGCTGTCAAAGGAGTGGGGGTTGACCTGAAGAGGGAGCTGCTGAGCCAGCAGGCTGTTGAGCTGGTCCTCGTTGTGTCTGACAGGCAGCTCGGCGTATTCCTCTGCATCCTGGAATGCATAAAAAATTAAATAAAATCTGCAAGACTGAGAATAATTCAATCTGATCTGTGTTCTAAGGGCTGCCTTTTGAAGTTTCATGGTATACAGCTGGGTTAAAAAGTCAGTGTTGATCTTTTTTTTGCTGTATTGTTTGTGAATTACAAAATTGTTTGATGTATTGATATTTGTTCTCTTTATTTGCTGCATACTTAAAAAGACATGCACTGGTGTAAGAAACCAGTTCTCGCAAAAAACAATTCTTAAAAACATGTTTTTGTTTAGTAAATCTGTCTAACACAGGTTCTGAACCAGCATGTACAAAACTGTTTCTGTACAACTAGTTTTGCGGATATTTCTTGTTTTGTAAAATTGTACTGCATGGCCACTACACATTCTATATGCATTCTATTCAGCTCTATTGGCTCCTAATGCTTTCACTTAAGTTTATTGAGTAAATTCTCTTCACATTTTTAGAATTCAATGCATAAAAACAAGACACCAGGTGGGCAGCATGACGGCTTAGGGTTTAGCACTCTTGCCTCACAGAAAGGTGGTCCGGGATCTCCAGTTTGGACCTGTTATTTTAATTTTTTTTGTGTGGAGTTTGGATGTTCTCCTCGTGTTTGTGAGGGTTTTCTCCAGTTTCTTAATGCATTTCAAAAACATGCATTTTTTTGTCTTCAGGTCGAGGTTTCCCTTGCAAGAGAGATAAGTGAGCTCAGTGGGAATTACTTACTTAAATAAAAAGTAAACAAACAGAAATATGACTTACTTTATTTTCTACATTTATCCCTGGACCTGTTGTTACGAGCAAACATTAAGTTGTGTACCTTAAGTGAAGGGGAACCCCCCCCAAAAAATGTTTTAAGTTTGCTACAAAAGAAGTTGTAGTTAGTTATACATTTTATCCGGCTAACAGCCCAGTCAGTCATGGCTTTTTTACTAAAGGAGTGATGGACCTTTCTCTTGCAGCATGTTAACAGGTGGAATACATACAGTCTACTGCAGATTCACTACAGAGGTTAATACCCAGCTAATGCACCTCTAAGCCAAGTTTGTGATTGAAATAACATGTCCAAACATAATGCATTGTTTCTCAGCAATTACATACTCTATTTAAATAATACTTGTATCAAAAGTAAACAAACACTTGTGAGATTTAATCAAAAAGTATAAATATCACAGGAGTTGCAACTTTTTCAGATAGTGAGGATGGTACACAGAAAGAAAAGGAAGATTTTTTTCTGTCTGTAAGTTTTTCATGCATCATGCAGTACATAAACCTTTAAAAACATCACAAATAAAGCTAAAAACTCAATTCTGCAGGGTATAATGCTCAGCGTATGTATTAAGGAGGACTCACGGCTACTGCCCCATCAGTTCTGGCTTAAAATCTAAAACTGACTGAATGATAGCATTTTTTGTGTTTTATACAGTCAGTTGGTTTGAACTGGGCCAACTCCAAAAGTTATTCACTTGCAGATGTACATGCAAAGCATATTTCCTGAACATCATCCACTGTTTCATCAGATATTTTGCTAATAGACAGACAAACACACACACACACACACACACACACACACACAC